GTTATATTTTCTTTCTGGTTTTGTAAACCTCGTGGTTCTAGTTAATATTTGGACCTAATATGTGCTATTAAAACAAAAATTAAGGCCATATTAATTTTAACCAAAAAAAGAGGGCCATAGACGAACGCCTCTATTTTGCCTTCATAGACACGGCCCTGGATATTACCTTAACTGTGTTTTTGTTTTGTTTATTACAAAAGCTTTACAATAATAATAATAAATTATTAGTTCGATATAATTAATCCTAAAATCTTCCATATATCGATTTAATTATAGTTTAATAACAGGCTTGTCGATCGTTGTTTAAGTAATTAGAGATAGAACAATATGATATTTGTTTTAACACACACATAAAATCCATGTTATTTTAAAATATTACACGCGGTAAATATAAAACAATTTAGTTACGGTCATTTTTGCAAATACGATGGTGAAATTTGGCTATTAAGTGCATATTTTCCTTTGAAAAATAATATCTACATAGTTTTAATGTTTTAGATGAAATGGTACTAGCAATAGACATAAGGAACTCATGCAAGGAATCAGGAAGACGAGAACCATTAAAAACCCAAAAATAAATAAAGAACGATATTAAAGAAAACTTTGTGAAAACATGTATAGATTAGTCAGTAATTAATCAGGACAGAAATGGTCATTTTATTTGTTGAGAATCTATTTCTCTTGAGCTGTATACTTTTTCAAATTATAACTTTTTCTTTTTATCTTTCTGAAAAATTCTTGTCCAAATACATTTTATAGTATATAGTTTGCCCCTATTTCCAAATATGTGTTTCGTATAGTAACAACGTTTAGCTTTTAGGTTCTGGATTCGAAATTTACCTGTTTCTATGCTGTACACAATTAAATAATAGTATTAGATTTATTCGCCATTCATGAGATCCTTTGATTCATTTATCAATTTTTTTTAAAAAAACTTTATTTTATTAAAATTAATTTAAAATAGATTAAATCAACGAAGAAGAAGTTCAAAATATGAAATACAAAGAGAAACTAATAGTCTTTCTTCCACACCGGAAATTAAGTGAGGATAATAATTGTTGACGACACATTAACGATACCAAGATGATCTTGTTTCGAATCGAATGTAGACAATTAGGTGTTCCCGAATCCACAATAGCAGTCGGATTTTCAAAATCCATTACGATAACACAATAACAATTCTCTTAATTTAGATAAATCTCTTTTTTGATTGCCTTTTTATCAAATTTGTATCGAGTTAGCTTCAGAGAAACCGCCGTTGAACAAGTTTGAACTGCAAAATTTAAATTAAACAGATAGCCAAAATTGACTAGAAACTAAACATAGATTTCTACAGGGGAGAAAAACCTCAACTAAAAACTTCACCCGAAAAAACTAAACCAATCGAGGGAATCACAAGAACTCATAAAATCCAGACGGCAAATAACATCATATCGTCTTCTAACCAAAAACTTCAGGATAATCTCTCTAGACTTCATGTATAGAAACTACTAGTTTACAACGCTCTCCCTCTCACGATGCTGGCTATAACGCCCCACCGCCATCGAGCTATCGGTATGCAGGGGAAATCCTCATCCGCTCGAGAGAAATCCTTATCTCTCAGTAACATACAGGGGAAATCCTCATCCCTTCAGGAGAAAT